ACGAATTGTTTTAAATTCTCCTATAAATTCCCTTTTTACTGAATTATGAAATATCTGTTAATTTGACAGCAATGTTATTTTTAGTAATACTTTTTGTAGCCTTCAGTATTAACATCTAGTTTGGGGGAAAAAACTGCTAAATATTTATACTTCTCTGCTTTGATCTTTCACTCAGAAGAACTGAAAAGGTATCACACTTAACATTTTTGCTATAAATATTTTAGATAGCATTTGAAAGAGTCCAAATTCACCTCTCGTGTTGGATTTGTTCGGATTACTGAGATGGGTTGTCACTCTTAAGTGCTTCCAGAAGGCGTTTCGGTTGCCAATGGTTGGAAACTTTTGAGCGACGCTGTTGTGGCTAATGGCCATGATGGAATCATTAATATTGCTGTTTGACAGGAGTAGAACCAGAGCCTCTTCTGTCCTCCTATTTCCATGCTGTGGTTCAGGGCGAGGTAAATATAACATCTTCGGGCAAGAAGCACAACAACTCTGACAGTGCGCCGTGTCTTTCGGAGTTACCCTTTGCAAACAGGTTGTGTCCCAGACCCCCTCCAGTACTAGCCAGTTGCCCTGGATGGGTGCAAGGGGTTGTGAAGGAGATGTCTCAGTCATGAAGTTCTGCCAGACCCACAGAGCCTGTTGCTGCCTCATTCTCCCATTAAGTTACGAGGGATTTAGGAGGTCATCAGAAATGTGGAAGAAGTGGGAGAGCCAGCAGTGACAGAAACTATGTTCACTTCTTGTGAGTTTACTCACTGAAAATGTAAATTTTTCTGTAAGAATTTTCTGGCTAGCAGCCAAAATGCTTGAGCTGCCAGGACTTCCAGGTATCGCATGCTGCTGTTCTCCTCAGTATGCTCTGGTTCCTCATCAGCTGTGTCAGCCAAGTTTCTTTTCCAGAGAGGGGAGGTGATCCGTCACAGGAATTTTTGGCCTTGGCCTCTCGTGGGAAATGTAGTCCTGCCTTGGATTCTGAACTACACAGGGAAGGAGAAAGTCAAGGAGCTTGGACAGGAGTTTCCATGAGGCACGATATTCAAGCTGAGTTTTGTTGTTCTTTTGTTTGCTGGGTTGGTGAATGTTTAAGCCTCTAGTGGTCAATTTTTAAACAACAAATAACAAAAAGGTATTACCCCTTGCATTTTTTTTTGGTGAAAACATGATTGGACATCGAAAAGCATTTGGCACTGAACGTTTTCAGTCAAACCTAGGGAAAGTGAAGCTAAGTAGAAGTCTGTGCTGTACACAGAACAGGTATTCTGCCCTGTCTGATGCTGAGACTATCGCCTTTTCCCTCTTACTTTCAGCATCCAATTATTTTGCTATGTTTAGTACATAAAATTAAGTTTCTCAAGTATTTTCCCACACAACCTTCTCTCATTTGCCACTACAATGGGTAGAAGTCATTTCACTGGATTTTGTATGTGTGCTTTTGTATCAGAAAGTTTGCTTTTTCCTACCTTTATTCCACCTGTGCAGTCCCTGTATCTGTCAGAGTGATAACCCTGAAGAAAAGGTAGGTTTTCGTACCCTGTTCTGAGCCTCACAGGCTTGCACACGTTCTGATCTTTGCGTGCATGCCCACTGCATGGCTTTCTTTTATTCCTGAAGGCCTCAGCCTCGGCAAGTTGAGAGACTCATTCCATTAAAAGTGCATAGCATTGCGTCTGTCTGGCATGATGAGTGCTCCAGGGTTAGCGTGCTGACAGCAAGGCAAGGCTTCAAGCTGGCCTCTCTGGCCTCCTCTTGAATCTTCCTGGATTCAGAGCAGGGTTTTGAACTGACTCACTAGGAGGGGTGGTGAGCCCCTGAAAATTGAGGAGGCCCAGTGTGAACTGAGAGCACAAGGTTCGTCTTACAAGAGGGACAGCTCTCGGTCGCATCCAAGTTTAAATCCATGTAGAATGGGTTCCTCAGTATTGAGGTAGATCAGAATTCTGTCATCTGTGCTTGATAAATGATTTTCCCAAAGAGAGGAGAGATTGGAGGACAAGCAGTCATCACTGATGCTGGAATCCATCCCCTTGAGAACTGGTTTCATACTTGCTCTACAACCATTGCTCATTGCTTGCTTCAAGGAATCAATGAGTCATTGTATTAAAAAGGAAAACAAAAAAACACAATCCCAAACCCCAAGGCTTTGCAGTTTTTTTCTGGCCTTCCATGGCAGCAAAAGTCTGTGCCACAACGAGCTTATGATCCTGTGGGGACTTTGGATTTTCATTTGGTATAATGGAGAATGATATTTTTCTCCTTGTTCTTCACCCTAGTGATATTTCATCGTTGTCTGCATGTAATGGATTCCATTACTTCTGATTCCGTGAGGCTTAAGAGCTTTTTAATGGGAAGTGCTTGGGTCTGAGATGGGTTGACTGTGTCGTCAGCTGGTTACTGAGACGACGGTAACGGTGCACAAGGGAAATACTCTCTCGGTTTCTTGTGTAACTCAGTCTGTTCACAAGAGTCCCCTCTGCTTGGGAGCTGGCAGAAGAGCCCTGCGCCGCTCGGGTTAGTTCTTCGTTTGCTGGCATGTGTCAACAGCTCGGGGTGGGCTGTTGAAATGAGGGAAGGTCGTCAGGGGCCAACGCACAAGTAATTGCTTGAAATGTTTCACTAAATTTTTAGTGAGCGCATCTAACAGCCAGGAGACTTTCAGGTGATACTTATGAATTATTTATTTCAGTGTATATCTGTTTGTGGCTCTTTTCTGCATGTAAGAAATTAGGTGATAGATTTAGGTAGAAAAGGAAAATCATGATCAAAACTTCTAACCAGTCCAATGTTTTCGGATACTTGGCAATGGCTTGGATACTACTTACGGTTGTTTAACAGTGTCTCAGTGACTAAGAAGCTGAAAAGTTTCCCAGTGCTTTCATTTTTCATCTACCTTTTATTATCTTAATGATATTTATTTATGTCCTTTGCCACTGCATCCCATGCCATGCTCTTTATCTCTCTTGGTAAACTGGCTATTAACATTTTTTTTTACTTTTTTTTCTACATGAAGAGAGAAGCTTAAAAATGGATGAATATTAAAGAAAAGGAATGAAAAGGCCAAGCAGGTTCAGGGTTTGGTATTTGGATAGAGATTTCACCAAGTCCCATTAGAAAAAAATAATAAGTCCATTACTGTCACAATTTTGTGAAATAGAAGAACAATATTTTGGTCCAACTGTCTGTCAGTGAACATGCATCTCTCTTAAAGTGACCACCAAAAAATCCACAGTGGTCAAATAATGTTGACAGTCTCAACATGGTTATGTTCACCTGAACTATCGCCGAAGCTGAACCATCCGTCTGCTGGGTGTCAGCTGGAAAAGGTGTGCAACAGAAATGACCAGTCCCTGCTTTCTGTGGGTTTAAAACATTTTTTTCTTCTGGAGGTGATCTAGTGCCTTTCACTAGCATCAAAATCACCTTAAACAAAAACATGTCAATTTTTATAAAATATGCTCTTGTATACAGTGCACTCTTCCAGAGAAATGGAGTATTAGCATTTGAAAGGGCTGATGAGAATGCATCTTTGGGAAAGGCCTTTGTTCAGGGAATTACTACTGTATTCTACATGCATATCACCATGGTAATTGAATTATTTGCCATTGACAGTAGGGTATATAGCACAAGCCTTTTGCCATTTTACATGATGTGGTTCATAGCAGAGGGTGCTATTTGTCAATTTAAAGTTTATAGTATGACATTTAGCAGTTGTGCCTGCTATCATAGTGGTGGATGTGATTTGAAAGCATGAAACAAAAAGGAAAAGATTATTACAGCTGCTTCTTGCAGTTTAATATTCCTCCCCATTTCCGCTTACAGCACTAACCGTTCCCATTCTGGAACTGTCGGAGCCACCAGCAAAACCAAAGCTGTGCTCTCCCTATCTCTCAGCTATGATGCTGGTAACATGAGGTGGTATTTTCATTTCTTCCCATCATTGTCCCTCTCAGGACATTGTTCCAAACAAAACAAAGCTTTTTCTTCCCTGAGGCCATTCCATGCACGCTCACAGCGTGAGAAGATCTCTGTGAAGCATGTAGTGGTCACTGAGTACTGTGTGAAGGTTTGTGTAAGGTAATTACGTAGAGTCATAGAACGGTTTGGGCTGGAAGGGACCTTATCGACCATCTAGTTCCAACCCCCCTGCCATGGGCAGGGACACCTTCCACCAGACCAGGTTGCTCAAATGATGGATCTTTTGGGGGCATATAGGGTACCAACTGCTATGGCAGGAAATGGGACACCTTCAAAAAACCTCATTAACACGACTCGCTTAACAGAGAGAAAATAATCTCAAATTATTTTCACCGTGCGTGTAGATCTTTCATTTCAAACAAGATTCTATAGGAAAAGGTGCAATGTAGATACGGTGCTTAGTGCACTGCTCAGAGTACAAAAGAGATGGTGCTCTTTTGTGCTTCTTGATGCCGTGGGAGATGGTCATCTCTACTCTTCTGGTCCTCAGAGTAAATCTGGCTTTCTAGAAGACTGGCTGGTTCACCGCATAAGAGCAGGGGTAACCTCCCTACAGAAGTGTCTGTGCTCTTAAATACTTTCTTTTTCCCCCATCATTGCCTCCTCCCTGCTCCTTTTCCCGAACGTTTGCTGGGCTGCCCCTGCCCGTCGGCCGCAGCGTGGCCGGTGCCCAGGGACGCTGCCGCCCCCTTAGCACGGGGACGAGGGAGCCGTGGTGTCGGCAGCGGTGCGGTGGGCGCACAGCCCTGCTCCTGGGCTCCTTTGCTCGGGTACGAAGCTGCCACGCCACAACGCAAGCTGAGGTCTTGGGCGGACTCCGGCAAAGTCCTCTGCCAGAATAAAAATTCTGCTCAGCCCCGCCTCTTCAGATTGTGTATTTTGGTATTAAGGTGATTTTCAAGCACCAGGAACAAAATGAGACTGCAAATAACAAATGGTCCAGAGGGTAAGTATTTGGCCTCAAGTATTTGCATTTGTCGGCACGGGTATTCACGAGTCCTCTTTTGGTTTATGTTTTGTAGGACAAAGAAGCTCAGTCATTGCTACCGCATCGTGTACCGCCACCCGGAGAGGACTTTGATGCAGGACGAGGTGCATCGCGTCCATCAGGCTATTGAAGAATCAGCAGTCCGAGAACTTGGGGTTGAGGGCAGATTCTGACATCGATGGTCCAAAGCCCTAATGACAGTTTCTTTTTCTTTCTTTTTTTTTCTTTTCCTTTTTCCTTGTTATCTTTTTGGGGTAGGGGGTACAAGTAAAGATAGAGGGGCTGTGACTGAACCTAGCACTTGGAAAATGATTGATAAATGGTCAGTGGTAAAACTACCAGATAATAAACGTTACTACTAAGAAATCATTGACAAATCGCTGGTGCTTTATTTTAAGAAATGGGGGAACAGCGGTAATGTAAGATTTCCCTCCTGTTACAATAAGAAATACACTGCCTGGTGGTTTTCTGTGTTGTTAATTGGTCCCTGGGTTCCATTAAACTGTAAATACTTGGCATTATTTCTGTGTTGACAGGATCTTCTGTCCGTGTAACAAGTGAAGCAAATCAGAGACACAGATTAGCTCACGGAAGAGAAACTACTTTATCCTTCCATCCCCCCTCTTTTTAAAATAAGAAATAACAGGTTTTGCTTCAAGAAACCTTCCAAGCAGTAAGTCTTGTGACATTTGGCTCTCTTACCTTTGGAGCCCATGGGTGTTGCTTTCATCTGCTGCAGTGAAGGAGCCAGCGTGGCTCTGGGGCCAGGCTTGGCTGTCTTCAGGTGCTGGGTGCTTGGTGAGTCTTTCTTGTCGGAGCCGCTTAGCGAGGCACTCGGAGCTGTGCCGCCTTCCCCGGACGAGGAGCAGCCTTGTCCCAGTGCTCCTCGCATGGGCACCGGTGCAAGAGAAGTCTGTTCCCTGTCACCACCAAAGGACTGGTTCCACGTGGGGCAGGATGGCAGAAGAGAGAAACGCTTCCTCGCAGTGCCCTGAAATGCAGCTGCCTTGGTCTCTCGTAGCGTCGTACTTCCTGCAGCAGGCTCTGCTCAGGAACTTGTCCTTTAAGGCAGGAAACCAAACTGAAATGGGATCTCCTACTATTTCAGGCACGATGCTTGGCTTTTTCATTGCAGGTTATAATAAGTAAATTCTGGCAGTGGTGTGATGCTAGGACCTGTGGAAATGTTCAAATGCTCTGATAAATACTTGATGAGCCATTGCAGATGCTGATAGGGAATATGGGACCTGTTTTTGCTTGTAATGGTGTTTCATGCGGTCTTGCAGGTCACATCTGGTTGCTGTGCCGGCAACATTCCCTCCTTCAGGGAAGAAGGCGGTAAAAGCGCTGCACTAAACAGCGTCTAATGCTGATTTATACCTTATCAAGAAACATCTGTGCAGCAGCCTTGTTCTCAGCCGTAAGAAGCCAGTTACTATTGCAGATGTGACAGAAGCAGAGAGCTCATTTTAATTTCATTACTCGACATATTTAGCTGTGTAAACAAATCCTAATCTAAATCACTGTTGTGTTATCCAAATAACTTGATTATGAAAACAATATGCTAGGCTTTCTACAAGGTGAAAAGAATGGGTGCCATTTAGGCAACAGAAAAACCTGCTTGGTTATTTTTAAACCAGGAGCTACTAAGATCTGCAAATGCAGCCTCTCCTATTTGATATTTCTCTGTCTCCTTCATCCTTTGCCTTCTCAGGATTCTCGCTGAGGACCACTGAAGAGGAGGAGCGCTCCCCTGAACTTCACGGAGCAGTAATTGTTCCAGGACAAGTCCTGATGGATGCTGCCACATGGGGCAGCAAATTATGTGGATGTTAATTGATGGGATTGCGTATGGAAAGAGCACTAAAACCGGCCTGCTCTGTGAAAGCACGAAGTCTCTTGGGGAAACAGGAGACTATCTGGGGTGGAGTAGATTGCAAGGTTCCTTTTAATTTATTGATTAGTGAGGTTTCCATTTGCTGCTCCCCAAGTCCTTCAGTTCTTCTCTCATTCTGATCAGCCAGTTTTGGGGGCACAGAAATATGGGGAAAGGAAGGAGGAGAAAATTGGAGAATGCGCTTTTGTCGCTGCAGCCACAGACTGAGATGTCCAGCTTTGCAAGGAAACTTCGATGTTCCTGAATTGTCTGGTCTCCAGCCACAGCTCCAGCTCAGCTGTGTTTGGCATGTCGGGCTGTGAGCTGCCTGCACGCCAGTGAGGAGGGGCTCCCCACAACAGCCAGGTCTTGGGGTAACGTTATTCTTTGCAGCCTAAAAGATTAACCTCATGGGCTAATAGGATGAGAGGGAAATGCAGAGCTTTCCGTGAAGTTGACCCGACACCATGGGATCATCTTCTGGAGTAGGTGTTCTCATAGCAGCAACTTTCAGACAAAAATGCAAACCGCTAAGGTTAAAAAAAATAATTTAAAAAAACCACACAAAAAAAGCCCAACCAAACCCCAAGTTCTTCAGGAGCAAGCGCGATTCAATTATGTGAAGGATTTTAATGCCTGTGAAATCAGATGGGCTGGCTGTGAGCATGATATGAATACTTGGGTATGTTTATATTAGGTAAGCCTTTGTCATATATATTCTAGGATTAAGCTACTCTAAAGACCTGTTGTTCTGGCAAAGATTCACCACTGCTCTGCGAAGCAGACCTCAGATCCAAAAGCATCGGAGTTGCATTTCTACACTGCTGTCCTTTGGAAAATATGACTTTTCCTTCAAAGCCTGACCTTAATTTTACTGACGAAATTTGCTGTGGGCAGCGGTAGACTCTCAAACCGTGTGGTCCCTTGTGGGTACCAACAGCGAGCCGGTGGGAATCTAGGCGTCTAATAGCCGTGATTGATTTTACTGCTGATCAGAGACCTGTGATGCTAACAGTACCTCCGGGCTGGTCCTTGGTGGGAGTGTGGAAAGCCTGCCTGAGGAAGACCCTTGGTAAAGCCATTGCCCAGCTGTCAAAGAAAGGGCTGCCCTCGGCTGTCCCTTGGCTTTTCTGAAGACATATTTAGCACAAAGGTAAGTAAACTAGCCTGAAGACCGAGAACAACATAGCTGCCAAGGTAAGTTCACTTGGTCATCTCTTTGCTACCCTACAGTCTGCCTCATGAACATTGCCTCAACCTTGGACGAGCTGCAAGTCTCGTAAAGGTAGATGAGTTCCTAAATATCAAAGTGATACCAGGCCGTGTGGAAACACGGAGGGGTGCAGCGTTTGAGTTGCTAGTGTGCGTGCGGACTGACTAGCGTAGTGCCAGGCACAAGGCCCTGCTGCTTGCTTTTATCAACAGCCTGTGTTTATTTCTGCGTGCCGCTGGGTTTTATATCAGCATCCTTGAATAAAAGAGGAAAAAAAAATCAATTGTAGCAAAAGAAGATAGACACCCCCAAGAGAACTGGCTGGGATTTCTGTGACTGAACAGCGCGTACTGTTTAGTGTTCTGGGTGCTGGGTTTGCTCCTAGTTGCCGTTGGTTTTCAAGCTAGCTGTGATTCCTGGAAGACTAAAGATTGTGCTTTAACACCCAGTTTGGGATCTTCCCAGTACACTGGCAGCAAATTTACAGTGCACTGAGCCTCACCTGGCTTTGATGTTCTCGGTAAAGGCACTGCGTTGGAAAAGTGTTGCCAGCCAGATAAGCAGTAAATTGTGCTGTGATTTCACCCCGGAGACTTCAGTGGCCGCTGCTGTCGTGGTGCCAGGCACGATCAAACAGGCGTGTAAATCCGAGAGCGGTTTTGTGCTGAGGATCCAACCTAGAGGAGTAAACCACTGGTGGTGGTGGTTTGCCCCCCGCTGAGGGTGTTACTCCTGTCCCTTCTGCGGGTGGGTGCCCATACTTCAGCGCTGAATTTGCTGTCTTCTTACTCTGTGCAGCTGCACTGAGTTTCTCAAGTATTGAAGAATTGGTCTCCGTTGGTGAATAATTTCATGTGGGGGATAGCTTTTTGATTTAAATGGGGGAAAAAAAAAGTTGTGGACTTCTTGTTTGTTTGATGGTTTTATCTGCAGTGACTAATGCATTTCAGCTGCCCCAGGTGAAGCTCTTGGCCAAGACACGACTCTGTGGTGGTCCACTGGAGTGAGCACAGGAAGTCTCCCCCGAAAAGCAATGTCGATCTCATCGAGTTCGTATGTGGGTAGAGCTAAAGGACCGTGTCTTGGCTGTGGATTGGCTGAAGGTTGGCTGGTGCTCGTTAGTTAAGCCAAGGTCAGAGAGTGCTCTGTGTCTCGCCACCACCACCCCAAACACACGCAGAAGTGGTTGTAGGCACGAGGAAGTTCTGTCGATTTTGGTGTGAGCGTATAAAATAGTCGCTCTGGGTATTTGAGGCCTGCTAGCTGCTATGGCTGGACTGTCTCCATCAGACTTGTCACCAGCTGGGAGAGAAAATGGGTTTGTACTTCAGCTCTGAAATACGCAGCTGTATTACTAAAGCTGAGAGCTCCCATCAGCTCGTCTGCTGTGCTGCTTTGCTACGAGAAGACTGTTTACGTAGAACAGATTTGCTTTCTGTGTAGACCAGGCCGTATTGACTAATTACACACATCCTGATTAACTTTTAAGATTTGTGAGTGTTGCCTCTGAGGGCCACCAGAGCTGAAGCAATCTTGTGAGGACCTTAAACAAATTTGTGGGATGCATAAGAAACCAGCCATTGACACCCATTACCTGCTTTTCAACGTGACTGCAGTTACATCTGAATTTTGCTCTGAGTGTCTCGGAGAATTTGAGCAGGCGTATGCTGGGCGAAGGCGCCGGCTTCTCCAGAATCTGTTGGATAAGGTTTGATCATCATTAACATCTGATGCGCTGGCATCTTTGGCAGTTCTCGTGCTTTTGTGCTTTTGTCAGATGGCCTCTGCTATTCTGTTTATGCCCACTGTTAACCCAGTCTGCTCCAGGCTGCCTTCTGCACTTGGAAAACGGTGCCCAAAATCACTTCTGCCTTGACCCAGCCTTCCCATTCCAGTTTTGCTTGCCTTCTCCTACAGTTCTTGCTCTGGGAGTTTGACGTACCTGTGGTGAAGAAGCGGTGTCAGGCTGTAGGCAGGGAGATGATTATACCACAGCCCAAAGCCTCTGCTCCCGCGCCGCGTTGCTGCCGGGTCCCTCTGTGCTCACCCTCTGGATGCAGGAGATGAACGCGTGGTGGTTGCTG